CCTCCAGGCAGGGCATGACACCCAAGACAATTACGTAAGTAGTTGGCACAAACTTCTGGCAAAAAAAGCAGCTTTGATTGGTCTCTCTTCTTCACTCCTTTCTAACTTGGGAATGGAGGTGGCTTTTAAACCTCTCAAGCAGAGATTGTGGGACATAATTTTTTGTGATTTGTGTTACTGTTCCTATGTAAGCTGTGTAAGCTGTGTGCCTAGTGCATTGAATGTACATTACACTGGGCCTTTCCAATCAGCTGACTACATTTTAAATTTGATAGTGCCAAAGTACCACAGACTTTTTTTTCAGGCCAGATGCAATGTTTTTTCCACCAAACTGCTCCAATGCAGCTTTGCTAGGGTCCCTTACTTAGAGAGAGAGTGCTGAAGCATATATATAAGGCACGCCATAATCTGATTATCCCACTACTGAGAAAATTTGTTGGATGTTCTGACCAATTTCATATCAATTTCTTGGTGGAGGATAAGTAACGTTGGCTGTTCCTAAATTTCTTTCAGCAGCAAAAAGTATTAGAGCTCTCTATGTGTTTTAGATAAAGCAGATAACAATCACTTTGTTTTTACTGTACTATTTATTCTTTTTTGATGTTGTTTTTAATTTTATGTTTGAGTTTTCTATTGGATCTGTTGGATCTGTTGACCGCAATATATGATGATGATGATGATTTGATGCTCTTGGCATGGGACCTAAAGTGGCTGTTGTTTGTTCTGACCAGCAATAGCTCTCCAGGGTCTCAGACTGTGATCTTTTCTACCACCTGGTACCTTATTCTTGAACTAACTGGAAATACTATGGATTGGAGCTATGTGCTTCTATGAACAAAGTCTGTGCTTTAACAATGACTGATTGTGGCCTGACTCCATAAAACTGGCCTATAGTGCAAGACCAAGAAGAGTCACTGCCTTTGTGCTTTGCCGTTTTCTTTGAACATAAAGAAAACAAAAATAATGACCACTGAAGAAATACACAAGTTCAATCTAGACAATGAGGAAATTGAAATAGTTAAAGAATTCCCATATCTAGGTTCAAACATTGACCAGAATGGAGACTGAAGTCAAGAAATAAGAAGACTAGAAATGGGAAGGTCAGCTATGAAAGAACTGGAAAAGATACTGAAGAGCAAAGACATACAACTGAGCACTAAAGACAGAATTGTTCAGGCCATTGTATTCCCAATTACCATATACAGGTGTGAGAGCTGGATAGTGAAGGAAGCAGACAGAATGAAAATCAACTCATTTGAAATGTGGTGCTGTAGAAGAGTACTTAGGATACCATGGACAGCCAAGAAGACAAACAAATGGGTTCTTGATCAGATCAGACCAGGGCTCTCCTTGGAAACAAAGATGATCAAGCTGAGACTATCATACTTTGGCCACTTAATGAGAAAAAAAAATAATGCTAGGAAAGGTAGAGGGCAGAAGAAAGAGAGGAAGACCACAGACCAGATGGGTAGACTTGATCAGGGGGGGTGTGGGGAAGGGCTTGCAGGATCTGGTCAAGGCAGTGTAAGATAGGGATTCTTGGAGATGTCTCATCCACAGGGTTGCCATGAGTCAGAACCAACTCGAGGGCAGCTAACAACAACAAATAGCATATTTCTGTTACAACTTCCTTCTCCACACTTCCTGCCAAGGGCCTTTACCTGTCATAGGCTTTGACTTATAAAACACTCTTGTCAGTGCCATCCACCTGAAAAGCATAGGGTTATTACAGTCTTATAGTATTGGGAAGGATCAGGATAAACACAATGTGCAAGGAGGTTTCACAATTTTATATGGTGCCAGGCAGCCTCCTAGTGGCCTAATTTGGATATTGCTTTCAAAACGTTCAAATTACTTTTTCTGAAAGGAGAAAAAACAAATCCTAACCACTAACTTAAGGTAAAACAAACACAACTGGCACTTGATCCTCATTTGTTGTGGTTAAATTTTTGGGGTTTTTCCCCCCTACAATAACTATAGGAATCATAGAATCATAGAGTTGGAAGAGACCACAAGGGCCATCCAGTCCAACCCCCTGCCAGGCAGGAACTCCCAATCAAAGCATCCCTGACAGATGCCCATCCAGCCTCTGCTTAAAGACCTCCAAGGAAGGAGACTCCACTACTCTCCGAGGGAGTGTGTTCCACTGTCGAACCGCCCTTACTGTCAGGAAGTTCCTCCTAATGTTGAGGTGGAATCTTTTCCTGGAGCTTGCATCCATTGTTTCGGGTCCTAGTCTCTGGAGCAGCAGAAAACAAGCTTGTTCTCTCCTCAATATGACATCCCTTCATATTAATGTTAACATTAAAGGATTGGGTTTGTCAGGTCAGAACTAGCCCAGGTGCTGACATTTCATGCTTAAATCCTGATACTCAGGGGCAACCCCTTGTGATGCTACAGGAAGCAGGCCCTGGTGATGTTACAAGAGTGATGTTGCAAGGGATAACCCTTGTATGTTATTAAACATATGTTAAACATCAATCATATACCCTCCCACTGTCTCAGTTAGGCAGGAACAGTCCCAGTTGATCATCTGTTGTCCCACCTTTTCAGCATGTCCCAGTTTCAAAATCCATGAACATCACTTGTAAAAAGGAAGCATCCTAGCTACAGACTTGTTGTTGTGTGCCTTCAAGTCATTTCTGACTTATGGCAACCTTAAGATGACCCGATCATCTTTTCTTGGCATGATTAGTTGGGGTGGTGGTGGTTTCTTTTGCCTTCCTCTGAGGCTGAGAGAATGTAACTCTGTTCCCAGGAGTTCTTGGTGTATACACATGAGTTACATGTATGTGTATGTTTATTCATTTGAGCCATGTGCCAGCATGTGGCGACCCCATTAATTTCATAGGGTTTTCTTAGGCAAAGAATACTCAAGAGGTGGTTTTGTCTGTTTTTGTTTTCGTTGTGTGCTTTCAAGTTGTTTCTGACTTGTGTGTGTCTTCAAGTTGTTTCCAATTTATGGCAAAACTATCACATGGTGTTCTGGGGCTGAGAGTGTGTGACTCACCCAAGGTCACATAGTGGGTTTCCATGGTCAAACCGGGACTTGAACCCTGATCTCCAGAGTCATAGTCCAGAGATAAAACCACTACACCATGCTGCCAGTTTCTTCCTCTGAAATATAGCCTACAGCAGTGGTTCTTAAACTTTTTACCCTTGTGATCCCCTTTACATGTACATGCAAACATCATTCCCGCCCCTCTTGACGTAGTATATGAATAAAAACATTTTGTTTAGTGCATTTTCATTTGCACATTCATATATATTCCCATTTTAACAGTTTATCAGGAAATAACATCATTCAAATCAGAACAGTTTTATTTAAGTAAATTCATTCTTTAACTAAACACCTGTACATTTTACATGTTAAAAAAAGTTTGGGAAGAGGAGGGATCAGGGCCCCCTTTAAAAAACTTGCACCCCAAGCAGGGGTCCCACCCCACTGGCCTACAGCACCTGGGACTCATTAGCAGTCTCCCATCCAAGTACTAACCAGGGCTAACCCTGCTTAGTTTCCAAGATATGGTGCTTTTAGGATATTTAAGGCTTTATGCACATGAGAAAAGGAGGGAAACTATGAAAAAATATTCACATGTAACCACTAGAGAGCAGTAAAGAATAAAGAACAGTAGTTTAGAAAGGCTCCTGTAGTTTTTGTCTTTCTAAAAACTGAGTTGGTGAGGTGTGGCCTTTGCCCTTAAAGAGATTTGATTGGCTTGAAGAAGGGATGTTTCTTATAGGCTGCAAGGGCCATTGCCTTTCTTTAAGAGTCAGACTTCTTGCTCACTGGAAAGACAGTAAGAGGAGTTTACCTGTTGTTCTTGGTGAAGGTTGTGACCCTGACAGGTGAGCCTTTTCAGTTTAGGGGAGGTGATGGTCTGTAAAGATTCTTTCCTTCTTAATGAAAAGTTTTGATGCATGTTGGGATTACATCAAGGTGTTTTTTTTTTTAATTCTGTGTTATTCTAAAAGACCAACACATTTATTCTAGCATCAGCTTTGGGAGGTTATGACCTACTTCATTTGAAGCACTGAAACCAGGTGTTTGATTTGTGTTTGCTATTGGACAAGAGATAAGACACAAGCTGTTTAATGCCATTTTTTTCTTTTAATTTTTTGTTTGTTTGTTTGTTTGTTGTTAAGGGCCGTTTGTTTTTTCTTTTGTTCCACCCAAAGAAAAGTGAGTGCTGTGTAATAGAGACTCTTTGCTTAAAGCAACTTTTTGGTTAAAGTTTCTTTTGCTGTACAGTATTTGAATGAGACTTTTCAAGCATGGGGACAATACACGGTAATATAAACCAGACCTAAAATGATAGAAACATAGAATTGGAAGAGACCTCAGGGGTCATCAAGACATGCCATGCAGGAAAGGCTGAACGTGTAAGCTAGGTGTATTGTCCTCCAGTAATAGGATTGGAATACCAAGTACTCCTAGTGTTATGTCTTGTGGATCCTTCTCTGAAAGGTGGGTGTGTGGGGAGCAAATAGAGATCCATTTTTCTGGTTGTAGATCTGTTTGAGAGTCCTTTCACCTGTCCAGCAGGTGTTCTTCCTTTAAACACAGCTGTCATCATTGCTCTGCGCAGATGGTATTGACAATTGTCAGGCTTTAAAACCATTGGGGACAATTGTTGGAGCCCTAACAGGGTGGGATGGTGGAGACAAACAGAGATCTATGAAGCCCAAAGGGATCTTGTAGCACCTTTGAGATTAACTGTACCAAAGAAGTTATTTGTCTTGCTGTTGAGTGCCTTCAACTTGTTTCTGATTTATGGCAACCCTAAAGTGACATTATCATGGGGTTTTCTTGGCAAGTTTCATCAGAGGGGGGTTGCCATTGCCTCAGAGGCTGAGAGCCTGTGACTTGCCCACGGTCACCCAGTGGGTTTCCATGGCTGAGCTGGGATTCAAACCCTGGTCTCCAGAGTCCTTGTCTGACATTCAAACCACTACACCACTCTAGCTCCCTTAAAGAAGTTGTAGCATAAGCTTTTGTAGACTTAGATCTGCTTCCTCAAATGCTACAACTTTTTGCACACTTAGTCTCAAAGGTGCTGCAAGACCCTAGCACAGCCATATCTCTGAATGCTATTGTCCTTGGTTTTGTTTCCGTTTTTTAACAAAAAAGTTTCTAATGCTGTGTAGAAGATAATGGGGAATCACTAACATGTCTATTAAAAGGGGATGTTGAGTTGAAAGCAGAACAGGATTTTAGTTCAGTTTGTTTAGGGGATTTTGAGATGATACATATGCTGTCCCCCCACTTTCTTAAGTTTATAGTTTGCTTTCTTTCCACCGGCATCACAAGTGATTATATTGCCCAACAAATTTGTAATGGTGCAAAGCATACCTACCAGGAAGCAAAACTATATTGAGTTTCACAATGATCCTTCCTGGTATACCTGTGATGGGTTCAGCCATAAACTCAACCCTGTGTGTGCCCCAGGTGAGTAGATGGTGAATTGGGCTTGGCTATGTAAAGCATCTTGAGTAGCTGTTTTAACATCTTTCTTACAATCTTTACAGATACCAGGATGAGCTGTTTCACTTTCTTGAAGGTCATGATGATTTTATTTAATCTAGCCATAGTGGTAAGTATTTATTTCTTTGGTATGGCCTTGTAGAAGTATGACTGGGTGTGGCACACTGTCCAGAGCACATTCCACTCTTCAGAGGTTGTGTAGCTCTAGTGAAAGCCCTGTGTCTGCATACGAAATGAAACTGAGAAAAAACATTTTAGACTGCAATCCCAAATATACTTGCTTCTCAATTGTCCAAATTCAAGGACAGATCTTATAGGAGAACAGTTAAGTCTTCTCCTTGACAGCATGCTAAACTAGATATGTTTTAATGTGCTGTGTGTTTAAAGTGAGATGTTTACAACCAATCCCTTTTTATAAATCCCAAGGCTACCAGAAGATTATAGAGCATTTAACTACAAATTATCTAAGAGAGAAAACTATGTTTACCCTAAAAACCAGCATGTGAATAATTTAGTAGGATAAAACTAGATAAGGTGGGGGGAGATTATTGGCTCCGTGTGCACTTCCCAAGTGTTCTGCGGCCGCTCCAAGAAAATGAAATAAATAAAAATTGAATGAACTTAAAGAATAAGAACATATTCTTATATATACTCCTAAAGACCATTAACTTGTAAGATATAGGGTAGGTCTCTTAGGGGCTCTGCCATAGAAATAAGGGCTCTGCGAGTCAAAAAGGTTGGGAACCCCTGCCATAGATGTACATATTCTGTTGTAGCCAGAGTGGTGTAGTGGTTTGAGTGTTGGACCTTGACTCTAGAGACCAGGATTTGATTCCCATCTCAGCTGTGAAACCCAATGCCTGACCTTGGGTGAGTCACACTCTCTCAGCTTCCAAGGCTGGCAGTGGCAAAGATAAAGCCCCTCTGATGAAACTTGCCAAGAAAACCCCATAATGGGGCCTTAGGGTCACCATAAGCTGGAAACTACTTGAAGGCAAGCAGCAACAACAACGACAACAAACAAACAAACATCATAGTGGGGAAAGTGATGAGGGGGAAGCAAACTTGGAAAGGATTTTAACACTTTCACTGCAATGCTGTACTTCCAGATTTTGCTTAACAAAGCAATAGCCCAAATGTTGCTTAGATGGCCTGTTGGCTTTTTCTGATAACATTTTGGCACCAGTTTGTGTAAACACTATTTTTCCAAGCTTCAGCTGGGACAAGTATGCTGTGGCTTCGGATGTCTTGCGTAGTATGTTCTATGAAACTGAGGTCTGCCCACCTACACTCTTTACTGCTGTGTCTGCTCATGGATTAAACCTATATTTAATAACATGGAGCAGTCTCTTAATACTAGGGTTGACTTCTAGAAGACTTCCTCTGAGACTCTGATTACTCTTTGGAGCTGCCACACCCACATGGTTCTGCTGGATTTTTTAGCCTTGATGGTGGGTGTGCCTTCATACAAAGGCAGGCCAAGCCCACAAAATGGCACTGGGTAACAAATAAAATCATGATGCAAGCCAATGTACTCATTAAAATGTATATATGTTCCTGTAATTTCTCTCTATCCGGAAAGGATGAGTGGTTTTTTTGGTTTCTGTGGGTGTTATATTTGGTTTCATGCCTGACCTCTCAATGGGATTTCAACAAGCAGCACAGTGACATGCTCCGCTCATGCCTCTATGACAGTGCTTTCAAGGAAGTCTAGTTTAGGTTTATTTCTTTGACATAGATATATATATCTTAGAGAAGGCAAAACTGAATAGCTTACACATACCTCACTAAATATGCCATGAGGCTTGCTGAACTGGTAAAGCAACCCAGATATTATTGAAGCTAATAAGACCAATGCCAAGGAAGCTGTTGGTAATCTGAATAATAATTAATAATAATAATAATAATAATAATAATAATAATAATAATAATAATTTATTAGCCAACCAAAATGCACAGTATACTTGTTGCAAGCTTTTGAAACTCCATGGGCTTCTTCATCAGGCAAAATGTTACAAACCAAACAATAGAAAAACAATTGGAGATGTTAGTCAGATGCCTACATGTTGTTTCAGTGTTTAGTTAAGAAGGTATATGATGGGGAGGGTATCTTTTGTAGGAAACATCTTGCCTAATGAAGAAATCCATGGTGCTTCGAAAGCTTGCAACAAGTACATTGTGCATTTTGGTTGGCTAATAAAGGTATCACTGATGGATTTTTGTTTGAATTTGCTAAATGGCCAACACAGCTACCCCTGAATGTTTTCAATAATAATAATAGATGATAATGATGATGATTTCTTACCTGCCTCTCCCCATGGATTGAGGTGGGAACAATAACAATAAATAAACAACATCAGTTAAAACATATGAATTAAAACACACATCAATTTAAAAGGAGAAATAAAATGTACACATATTAAAACCATCCATATCTAAACTTCAATATTTAAAAGTAAAAATTTAAAAATGATCTGGATAAGCCTTGTGGAATAAACTGGTCTTTAATGCTATTTTAAATTCAGACAGTGTCTTCAGCTGTTCAGTCTCTTCTGGCAGGTCATTCCACCAGTGGGGCACCCTTCAGTTGTTTTAGGTTGCAACTGCCATCATCCTTGGCCACATGGCTGGGGGTTGACAGCCAGTGAGTCCAAAACAAGTAAAGTTTGCTAAGTTGGGAAAGGCTGGTCATAGGATCTGTAACCCCTCTGCACATAAACGTATGAACATGCAGTCAGGTAAATAGTTACATGGAAGACTGCAGCTTATATTACTGTGTTCCATTGAGATAATGGTCTCAAGCCTAGAGACCTTAGAGTTCTGTTTTAATGAGTTCTGGCTATTAAAAATGGACATGAACTTCCCACAGGAAAACTATTTACACACGAGAGGTTCATTGACTGTGTTTGCACATGCTGTGGTTGCAAACAGAAAGATTAATAGAAAAGAATTGCAATAGTGGGCTACTGTTAGGGAGCAGCCAGTTATTTTAAACTACCTTTTGGAGAAGGGAAGGTACAAGTGGGAAAGATTTGTACAAATCTCTGTACGTCCTTATGAGGACTGTACACTTGGTCTATTGTCATGAACATGAATTCATTTATACCTTTTGCCGGCTATGCCTTCCTGGTGCAGGTGCACATGGTATCTATTATGCAATCGTCAGTTAATACCATTTCTCCTATAGTATAGGACGTATGTCTTTGTATGAAGCAGACCTTAATCTGTTCTGAAGATCTCAAATAGGTTCTTTCAGTAGACTTTTTAATGTAGCGGCTGATTCTTTGAATACAACGGGGTTTTGTTTTTTATGAAGAAGATTCTCAAAGTGCTTTCCCGGCCCCCGGCCCCAATGCTGAATCTTGAAGGTAGAAGAGATGATATTTCTTACTGGTCTTATCTTTTTTTTAAAATTTAAAAACATATTCACATCACATAATATCTTACAACATCACATAACATCACATAACAACAACCCATCCTCCCTCACCCACTTCACTTCCCACTTTTTCTACTAAGAGCTATCTTTCTTTACTTCAAATATCTTGAATATATTATGATTCCGTATTTATATTCCTAAACTTTATTTCACTAATTGTTTCTCTTTATATCCAATCCAATTCAATCCAAACCTATTACAAAATTTGATCCCCATTCCTTTTTAAAGTGAAGTAATAAAGGTTCCCATTCCTCCTTATAGGCATATAATTTCATTAGCTAGGTCATTATCTTTGGTTGTTCTTTACTTTTCCAGTTGGTGGCATATAGTATTCTGGCTGCTGTAGTCATATAGAATAGCATTTTACCGTGTTCTCTATTTAGTTTCTCATCTTCAACCATACTAAATAGATACATTTTTGATTCTGGGTATTCTTGGAGACCCAGTATTTCCCTCATTTTTGTATAAATCAAATTCCAAAATTTCTTTGCATATTTAAAATCCCACCATTGTTGGTCTTGTCTTTGATTATTTGTGGCATAAAAGTAATTTCAAAGAGATTGATGCTTAACATTTGATACATTCAGATATTCAGACTACTTGAACAGGGAATTGTCCCTTTCATGCCTGCATTTAATACTTAAACAGAGCCCCTGTGCCTCACTTATAATCCCCACAAGGACTGTATCCTTCTGACAAGAGAGTCTTGTCACCAACTGGCTTCTTGATCATATGGCCAGAAGTCTTTGCAAGTATAGCTATATTTTTGTATATTTAAATTTCATCCTATATCATAAGGTATCAGGGTCATAAATGATTTAGGTCTTGAATGTTTTGGTACTGAAAGTGGAATGAAAGTTGTCACACTTCCCCTACATATGCAGGTAAACACACATAATGACCACCACACAGACTGAACACTTGAAATGGACTCTGATTGCCTTTAATTGGTTTGATAGGTATAGAGTATAGACTTTAACTCTGCTGATCCTATACAGTGAATGTGGAAATTATGTGGCTCTTCCAATGTTGGACTGTAGTTC